GAGATTAATGAAATTAATCTTGGAAAATAATATACCATAAGATGGTGATTAATTGACATTAAAGAGGCTAACACACAATTACATACTAGGTCATAGCAAACTTTCCAAGCAAGAAAAAGAAGGAAGGGGCCAGTGCGGTGCGGGTTCGAGCTCACGGTTTTTGGTTCAACATTCGCGAAATGAATCTTTCGGTTCGATCGCGACGACAAAATAAATTAAAACGGCTAACATATGTATTATATATATATATATTTATATATACTACTCACAGTAATATTTAATATATATTTATTAGCAATATAACAATTAATCAATTAACAAAAAAAAATAATAATGATAATTTTATCAATAAATAAGCAATAATAAATATAATAAATAATTCAAAAATAATTCTCCAATAAACGGGGCGTTACAGCCGCGCAACCAGCTCTTCGCCACCGCGAGCTCCGACATTTCAGTTCCTCACCGGCGTACAGTCCCCGACATGAACAGCAATTCCGGCGAGACCTTCAACCTTTGCTCTTGAGTTTCCAGCCGTCAGGTCTCGTCGAGTTCCATTGGACTGCTAAATGTAGCCGTCGAGTTCCGTCGAAGTGCCAAACGTAGCAGTCGAGTTCCATTGGAGAACACGTACGGTCCGTTTAACCCATCTCGTTCCGACCCGTCTTTCCAATTTCTCGAAAGTTCCCGAAGACGGGTAAATTCTTTCGAAACTTTTCAGTTTGTTATTGCGTATTCGTGTTATTCGCTGAATTTATCATGCTCGCCTTTTGATTAATGTTAGTTGTTGATTTTATTGTCAGACTGTATTCGTTTAGTTGGATAATTTGATGTCTCGTGAATTTACATGGATTGGAACTCTTGCTGTATAAATCGACTTGTTACATTGTTGTCATTACTTGCGAATTTCGGAGTTCTGTTTTGGTTGTTTTGGAGTCTCGATGTTATTTTTGTTCGAGTTGTCGTTTGTTTGGTTTCGAGCCTATTATTGCCCTTTTGTTTTTCCAATCAAACTCGGTTTCGATAAATATATTTTTGAACTTTGTAAATTGTTATGTTCGTAGGTTTACTTATTAGTCAAAACCCAGGGCTCTTGGATCTTGTGAACTTGGTCGTAGTCTGTAGCCTCTGTACTTTTCCAGCTTTTGTTCAAGCATTTTTTATCTGCAGGCCTCGTTATATTTATAAGTCTTTCTTTAAGTTATCGATTGAGTGTGTAGCTCAGCGGTTTCTGTTCTCATATTTGTGTACAAGGTCACGTGTTCGATCCATAGACCTTGTGTAATAGCCCTTTTCTTTTTATTAAATGCCAACTCCAGCGCAGGCCATAAGGCCCGATTTCGGCCCGCGAGCCTGCGAGCGGCCCGAGATTCAGCCCGCATGGCCAGCAGTGTTCCTGCGTTGGGCCAGGCCATGTTTCGGCCCAATTCCGCGTGATCCAGGTCCAAATTCGCGACAGTTTTTGTACAATGGAATTTTTGTGTTCTAGAGCCCCGTTTTTCGTACCGATTTCAATTATAAAAATTATTTTCAAATAAGAAAAATATTGAAAAAAATTATTTTAAGTCCCTAGACTCCATTTTTGTTCCCCGAGTCTTTTCTTTTAAAATTTTGAGAGTTCCAAGTCCACGAAAAATCCGATTAAAAACCCTTAAGTCTTAATTTTTATTAAGTATGGGTTTTATGTTAAATTTGAGTAGTGAAATAGATTATTGATAAATTATTTAACTTAAATGTAGGTGTTTGGGGAGTCGAGCCTCATCCTACATACTTTCTTTTGCGTGCAAATTTTCTATCGAAATTTCTAGGTGGGTTTTTAATTGTGAAATTTGCTATGCCTTAATTAATGGATTTTGCTGTTGTATGTTCAAAGTATGCATGTGAACCATGTAGCCTTCAATGTGAGCTATATTGGCCGTCGAACGGTTATCCCCTAAGCTATAGAACGTACCTTCGGGTAGTCTCCTTTATTATTGTTGGCAGTCAGGGCGTGAGCCTTGGCTAGTGATCCTGTTTGTAAGGCCAAGGCGAAATTTTTGGCATTCGGGGTGGATTGTTGCTCCTTCTGGCCGGAC